AATTTTTAATATTATACGAATTTTTTATCGTAAAATATTTGAAAATCAATCATTAATATATATATATAATATAATATTAATGTTTAAAATTGTAAAATTTATTTAAAACTTTTCAAATTACGAGAAGGTAAAAATTTGATGGTTTGCTGAACGCTTCATTCCTGCACGGTATAAATACCGCTGCAGGTACCGACGCCGTTCATTTCTGGTGTTACCGTTGTGTCGTGCAGTTCGTGTAACTTAAAGCAAGTGTTGAATTAAGTGAATAACATAAAACATTTTTAATACTTAACTTTATTTTAATCATCATGGATTATAAAGATGAACAACATAATGAAATTGAAGCTTTGGAGTCAATTTATTGTGGAGAATTGGAAGGTATGCTTGCGTTAGTTATTAACCTATAAATTTGTTTTTATATCATAAAACACATTATTATTTCACAAATTACAATTTAAAATTATTCTTTATTTATCATATTGATTTAATGAAACATAATGATAAATATATATCTTATGCTAAATAATATTTTACAATTTTAATTATTAAATTTTTATAAATAAATTTTTCTATTAGTTTTAGCAACAGAACCATTTTATACATTTTCCATACCCATTAAAACTGAGGAATATGAATCAGGTACTGAAAATGGTCTCAGTTGTTGTTTACAATTTACATATACTGAAAAATATCCGGATGAACCACTCTTAATATCAATAGAAGAACCTGAAAACTTCGAAGAAGATAGTACTGAAAAATTAAAAAAACATTTAATAGAACAAATGAATGAAAATCTTGGAATGGTTATGGTATTTACTTTAGTTAGTGCTGCTCAAGAATGGCTTAATGTACAATGGGATAAAATTAAATTAAATCGGGAAGAATGTGAAGCACAAAAACTCAGAGAAGAGGAAGAAGCAGAAAGAGTAAGATATTATACTATAAAAATTTAAAAATAAAGATTATTTTATTGTTACTTTTATTTAAAATATTTTTATATTATTTTAGAAAAAGTTTGAGGGTACACGAGTTACAGTTGAAACATTTTTGTGTTGGAAAGAAAAATTTGACGAAGAAATGGGATATACAAAAAGAAGAGAAATAGCTGAACGAGAAGGAAAGAAATTAACTGGTAGAGAATTGTTTATGACTGATAAAACATTAGATCAATCGGATCTGAAGTTCTTAGATGATGGTACTATTTTAAAATATTTAATTTATTTAATTTAAATTAAGGCATTGAAAATATTCAAAGGAAATATAATATTGATTTTTTTTTTTTTAGATTCTGTTAAAGTAGACGAAAGTTTATTTCAAAATTTAGACGATTTGGAATTAGAAGATGACGATGACGATGATGATCCTAATTATGAACCAAACGTTTCTGATGATAGTGCCTAAATAAATCTGCTAAAATTTTATTCTATTATTTATAAGATAATCTCAAAATTCCTACTTACTGAATATTTATATATAAAATTAATATTTAAAAATTTATTTAAAAAATACTAGAATTTAAACAAATTGATATATTCAAATCAAATGTGCCAGTGTAAAGTGAATTTATTAAAATTCATTAGTGCATTTTATATGAATAAAATATATTACATCTGTCATGCAGATAAATTTTATACATGTATATGCGAAAAAAAATAGATATATTTAATAACGAAGATAATTTTATATAATTATGTACATAATTGAATCTTTTTCATAATAAATCATTTTCTTTAATAAATCGAAAATTACTATTTCTTTTGCTTAATCTTAAAAAAAATTTCATCTAAATTATAACGAAGCAGAAACATAATGAAATAAAAGCGCATTAACGATCATGTTTTAACATTTATTCATATAGTTTAGTATATAATATACACGTTTAATAACAAATTCTAACGAGAGAATAGTTATACTCGGCTAATTTAAATTTATTTTTCTCGTTCCAAATATATGCATACACATGGTGTAATTCAGAATAATTTATAAATGAGGTAATTATATTTGTGATGTGGCAGTAATAATCAAATCGACGTTATCATCAAAGTTTCTATTTCACGTAACATATAGGAACCTTTTGACAAAATTTTCAGTTTCATATTTACTTAACTTAACAGTGACAATTACAATACAGTACAAAAAATACGAATTTTACAAAGTTGTCCTGTTTTTTCTAATCATAGTGCTTATTAAGGCAATATAAAATCGAAGAAACGATGACAACTTATGTGGTCTTACATAGTACACCTAACGGGACATCTTCGTGTTATGAAATTTGTATACTTTTGATGATTATATATAATAATCGCTTTTTTTAAATATAATATATCGCTAAATTCCACACATTTATTCAATATATACGTTTTGAAAAGAAAGTTATTAGTATAACTTTAAAAAAATTAACATACGTGATAATATTATATATATATATATCATATATATATATATATATGACGTAATTTCTACAAGCAATAAACTATTCACTAATTTCTTGATAATTAAAAAAAAAAAAAAGTATCACAATATTATAATACTTTTTGACTTACGAACATAATTGTTCAATTTAAATACAAATAGAGATAAAAGATACAAAAAAATAAAATAAATACACGAGATGATGCATTTGAAATTAGTGAACAGTAGTAAAATATAATTGCAGTTTTAAATTAATAATAAATAAGTACATACAAAGTATAATACGCGAAAAAAGTACGATTAAAAAATTTGATTTTCTGATGATTCAGAATCGAAGTTTAAAAGATTAGAGGACTATAACTATATTTCAAGTCATTCTGTTTGAAATTTGATTTAATTTAAAATGACTGTATATATGTCAGAGCAGTCGTCTCGTCTTTCGAGTCGCCAACACGTCATAATCTGTTGGGAGAAGAATACGGTTAGTAATGGCATAATAATACTTTACTTAACATTTTTTGATTAACCAAGCGACCACATTCAACATATATATCATATAAAATCAGATTGGAACGTAGATATCTTTTTTAATCGCTGTTCTAATGTATATTACTTAACATTGAGCTTTCGTCGCTTGGCTAAACTTAGCCATATTCTAAAAGTAAACAATCAAATTCATAGCAGCAAACATTCTTATGCATAATATCCGACTTAATAACCGGAATTTTAACTATCTAACAATTAATTATACGTTATATGACACATAATAAACACATTTTATACGCGAATATGTTTTTTTTTTTTTTTTCGAAATTGTATAGTACGTGAAATTTATCAAAGTATAGTTATTAAATTTAGATTGAAATATGTATATTAATATTTATACATATAGCGATACATGTTTTCACGAAAAATAGGTTTTCTTTGATACGTAGAGAAAAATATGTCATATCATTTAATTCGTATAGAATTGCTTTATAATATATTTATAATTATGATCACCCGGAAAATATAAACAGCGAAAATATTTTCAGGAACAAACATGTAATTGAATGTACATTTTTAAATATGAAATATTTCACGATCACGCATCATCGTTTATAAAATAATTTTTATACACGTGATATATCGATATTCAATAATCAAAATTAATTTCTGATTATTTCGGAATCAATCAGTCAATGGTTTTAACTTTATATTTTATCTGTAAAATATTATTTACTTATCCGACAAATATATTTAAGCAAACATAAAATAAATCTATTTGTTTATTGTTTCGACATATTAATTGCAACGATTAAATGTGTTGTATTACAAGTCACAAATAATTATTTCGTATAACTTCATTGTAATTTGTTTCTTCTTTTAAAGATATTTATTTAATATTTTTTTATTTGCATTGATAATAGTGTATATAGATATATAAAATATAGCAAACTAAAAATTCAATAACTCTAAAACGTGCATAAAGTATTCATTCATCTTTGGACCAATCTTCAATTCATATGGATGATTTCATTTATTAGGAAGTAAGCTCAGGGGATTTCTCGTAATGTGGACATCATCCGTAAAGGAAAAATCAGGCATTCTTAAACATATGATACAATGTCAGAAATATAATATTATCTGATGGAATAATATTTATGAAAAAAAAAAAAAAAAAAAAAATCTTTTTTGAAATATTGAGAAAAATAAAAGAAGAAAATTTCCATTTGAATTTACGTATATATACTTTTGTATTCGTGAAATTTTTCATTTTATTACGATCGAAAAATTTCACTATACAAATATTTGATTTTATTCAATTATGTATATAATATATACTGTATATTATGTATAATCATAAATGAACTAAATAGGATTATCTCAATCGATGAAATAATATTACTTTTTTCTTTGTTTTGTTTCTATAACGTAATCGTAGGACATAAAAGTGAACAACAATATCATAAAACTTTCTTTAAATACTTTCAGTGCTTAATACCTATCACGATTTTTCAATAATAAACTAGCAATCCTAATACTGTATATGGGATGAAGGAGGACATTAAAATACTGCAATGTTAGCTTACTGAGACATTCGATGCTGTAATAATAGCACTATGTCATTGTTTTTCGTGCTTTTAACACTTCGTGCAAGTTATATCGTAAAAGTACTGGCATTAGTTACTGAAAGAGTAACAGTTCTTACAGCTAAAAATTGTTTTATAATCACACTGTTGCCTGTATTTGTCCACGACCTTATTATAGTTTCAATGCAGAACATAGCGATATTTTTATCGATAATAGTAATAGCCTCTGAATATCCCATTCGATGAAATCCGCTACAGATGTTTTAAATCGTGGCGGATTTCGACAGTGTCTCTGAAAAAAATTAATTAAGCTTCAGCGGCCTGCACCGAGAGATCAGTTACTGACGAGCAACAAGCTGACAATAGAGAAAAATTAATTAAGAAAATAACAAAATAAAATTACAATTTTTATGATAAGCAATTATTATGACAGCTAAATTCGCGAAGAGAATACGTTTTGTTTTTTTTTTTTTTTTAAATTAACACTCTATAGTTTTGCTTTGCAAAAAAAAAAAAAATAAAAAATATAAATATATGTATACGTAAATATGTATATACATATACTAATTTAATATCAAGCATTCATTATTAATTGCATCAAATTATTTAATTACAACTATGAAAAAAAAAAAATACTGCTATAGATGCTAGTATATTTTTCTAAGAAAAAAAAAGCAATCATCATTATATTATATTAAGCAATGCTCTGAAATATATGAAGCAATATTTACTAGATTACTGATAGAATAAGATTGCTACAAGATTACAACAGCGTTACTACAGTTAATTGAGAAGCCACATGCGTGTCAATGTGTTCATGAAGTTCCCTGTTTAACTACCTATTATTATATCACAATATCATTTCGATTTTATTTATTTCTAAACTAAATTTTTTTACACGTATCATTTCTTTTTTCTAAATTCATTCTATTAATTCAATCTATATATATATATATATTATTTCTTCTTATTTCTAAATTAGTTCTGAAAGTTATTATTAACTTTCTTTTTTTCTAAATCTAAAGTGTATTAATAATAAAATAAAAAAAAATGGGGAAAAGAATTATTTATTTTTAGATAAATAGTATAATACTTACTTATCTGGCAAAACACGAGGTTTGGCATAGTCTCCTGGCCAGTCATAAACGTTTGGCAGTGGACTGTCGTAATTCGCATCATACATTTTACTTACAATAAATTCCCGTTTGTCCTTGGGCTCTGGATATTCACTTGCCAACCCAGCTAAAAAATAAATATAAATATTGAACGTACGTATATATAAACGTATTGAAATATTTTTGAAAATTTAAAAAAAAAATTTGATATAAATTAAATTCAAATTATCTTAGATCACTTACTCTTAGCATAAGCATATTCGGCAATTCGAACGGCGATATCAATCGAACATTCACGAATAGTACCTAATGGTGGATAAACACTACCAACTTCGAGATGTTCGTCTTTTACGTTTTCAGCAACAGCCTGAGCTGAAAGAAGGAATAGATCTTCGGTGATATGATGACATCCAGTTGCGATCACACCCAATGCGACTCCAGGAAAAATGTACGCGTTGTTTCCTTGACCCGGCTTGTAAATTTTTCCTCCATAATGTACATCGCCGAATGGAGAACCTGACGAAAAAATACATTTTCCCTGCAAATATCATTGAAAGATTAGTTTAGATACAATATTCGATTACAATATTATGGATATCGATAACTTTTTTACATTTGTATGATCATAAGCTTGTTGAGCCGTGCATTCCGCTTTGCTAGTCGGATTACTCAACGCAAAAATTAAAGGTCTTTCATTGTTTTTAGCCATCTCTTTTAACACCTCGGTAGTGAATGCCCCTGCTGCTGCTGACGCACCTATAAAAATATTTTCACTTTCATTAGACGAGAAATTCCACAATGCCGATCAAATAAAGATTTACTCACCGATCAAAACCGACGGTTTTATTTCCTTTACAACCTCGAATAACGATTTCATGACTTTATATTTTTTCGCGTACCAGATCTTATGACCTTCCAGGTTACCTTCCGGCCGATCCTGAACCAGCAATCCATCAATATCCATCATCCAAATATTATCACGAGCTTGCTGAGTGGTGCAACCGTCTACTTCCATCGCTTTCACGCAAAGATTAGCTATCCCAATAGCTGCCTGCATCAAGTAACGTAAGTTTAAAAAAAAAAAAAAAATACAAAAACAAAGGTGTTTGCAAAAATAGTAACTTATGATACCTCGCCGGCGCCTAA